TTGTAAAATTGATTTTTTATACGTTGCACACCGTGTGAAAAATCAGTCGTAATAACATCAACGTTCTTACCTCGACATTGTGGTAGCTTCTCACGCGGATTCGTTCTCACCTGATGCATTTTGAGCAGCCGATATCATGTTATTGACGAACAGAACACCCTTTATTACATTTTCTACTTAGTTCTAAGAAAGCTAAGTAGAGAACCTCTTAAATACGTATTTTGTCATTCACTAAGTTTTTCATTACAAGAACAAGGATCTTGGGTTAGATAAAATTATTTTTCTTATGCATACACTTTTTTTTTTTTTAATAACCAATCCACCAAAGTGTGATCTCGAGTATTGACCTTCACGTACATATATAAGTACCCTAGCCATAATTGTTTAAAACATTTGCGTTTAATATAAAAAAAAGATATATATATTTAATCAACCAATCATGATTAGAACAGATTAAGCCAAAATTAGTCAATCAAAATTAATTATACGTATAACGATAAGCATGCTCGGTACTGTAGAATCACTGGTGTGCGCGCATATGTCCTAAAATGAATTTATTACATTACTTGTCGTTACAACAATTTTACATGTACGTAGTCGAATGCTTTTGTCTTCTATATGTTTGTATTCATTGTTACAGAATTTTGGATTTGGATCTTTGTTAAAAAAGACTTTCAAGACTATATAAATGGGCAATGTCGCTCAATTCTTTCATTTCCTCTAACCTACATCACACAGGTGATAATTTAGTATTTTATTAGTTGCAGTTATATTGTTTTAGGTTGCACGATGTCGGTCAAATAACCTGTTGAGGAAATGAATAATACATGTGGTATATTACGTATCAAGGGGACTTTTCATACGTATGGCGATCCGGATCACCTTTTTTAATTACATACGTACGTACTGTACGTACCATTTTTAATTAATATTAATAAATAACTATATATAGGATATATCGAAACAATCCGTTTGTATATTTATTATTATCACAAAAACCGATTAATGAATGATGTCGAAGCCGATTAACATCTCTATAATAACAAAGTATCCGCTTCTAAATGAAATTCTTAAGATTACTAATTATAATTTCGAAGCTAAAAATTTGAATTGTACAAATTTTTTTTTTTTTTTTTATTAGTGAAACATTAGCTTTTCTGGTCAATTAATTTATATCAGCCCAATACCGAATTTCTTCTATAAATAATCTAGTTTATCAGGTCTGTCAAGCCAGTGTCCCCAGTGTTTGAAATTAGGTTGCGGAGCAACTAAATTCTAAATGTGTATGAATTTTGCATATCGATATAAATATATTCATATGCGCTCGCAAACTCAAGTTTATTTAATTAGATTAATTAAACATTAACGAATTAAATATGCCATTGTAACGTTACCTAAACACGCTTAACTACTGTATTTCTCCGTTCATACAATCCAAAATCCATTATGGTAAAAATTTGTTACCTTTCTAACAATGGATAGTCTACGATTCACTAGAGCTAACTGCATATATCAAAAAATACGGACGTACGCGTGTTCCATAACGAACATTTGATCGTGAGAGAGTAGTCACATGATTATCCTTTTGGTAACTTATTTTGGTAAATTTTTTATAAATAGCAAAAATTGATCGCTGTTTCAAACGTTCTTGTTTCTTGTTATACTAACAATAATAATGTTTAGTAATCTTGCAAAGCTACCTATGCATATATCATTCTTTTGCCCTCGAGGGTCGTTAAGAAGGTTTTTCTCTTGTGGTTAAATTTAGGTTCCTCTTCTTCAGCAGGAACCGTAGAAGCGTGAATACATCACCATTTCTCGAATTGATAAAAAGAACAATTTCTATTGTTACTTCTATTGCTATTCTAATCTAAAACGCATTTAATGCATGTCAATGTAGATGATTGGTGTATTTATTAATTCGATAACCTCAATGCATAAATTGTGCTGGTTATAACGAAGTCTTTATATTTCTTTCTCTCTTTTTCGCCATCTTTTTTTCGTTGAGTATCCTTTCCTACACATACATTCCTTTTTTTTATGTGTCATTCTTTTATAACATATAAACTCGGTGGTTCATATCTTAGTTGACTTGATCTCACCAATTTTTTTCAGGAAAAAAAAAAAAACTATACATACATACATACATACATATATATATATTAGATCAGTGTGGCATACACATTAGAAAAGTAAATAGTAATGAGCGCCGAGAATGAATTTTACTCCCCACTTTTCAGTAAAAATGGGTTATCAAAGTCGAAGCGACCGGTTTCACGGATCTCATTGCCTGAAGAACGTCAACAAGAACGTGAACAATATTTCCACAACGTACCGCCCGAAGCAAATCTAGAATATTCTCAAATTATATTATCCCAGAATCATTTCCAATCCTTGTTACCCGAAGAACATCAACAAAAATTTCGATCCCTTAATCGTCCAGAATCCTACTCCACTGACAAAACAGATCTTACATGCGTATCAACTGATCTTTCAAACAATTTTAAACCATTAAATCCTCCAAATCCAATTCATGTTAATACCGATGGATCTCAACAAAACCTAATACCCCCACATCCTAATTCTAATCCTGAAGCTCCACCTCCTAATATTAGTTATCCGGTCTATGATAACAAAAGTTTTAACCTTCTTGGAGGTGACCCGTCCAATCTTTCCAGTAAAAAGTTCGGCAAAAGTTCGAAAAAGTCCAGACGCAAACTCTGGATCATTCTTGCATTACTCGCCGTGATACTACTAATCATTGGTAATATATTTTTCTTTATATAAAAAGTCGTCTGATACATGTATTAATTTTATGATATATACATATCGATATATAAATATATTTTTTACTTTTTGAATTTAGTTATTTCAGTTATAGTAGTCAAAGTAAATAATGCTGCCGCCCAAAATTCACAATCAAATAGCGATTTAGCATCTAATGGAAATGGAACTAATTCATCTGCCAATAATTCAACTGAAACTACCGTAACTAATTCAACTGACATTAATCCGAGCGGAAGTTTACCTACAGTTCCTACTCCGACCGAATCCAACCCTACAGCTTCGGTTGCTCAGATTCCTAGTAATTGTCCTTCACCAGCAGCCTGCACTATTTCTGGACAGGTATTTATTTTTTATTAATAATATATTAATATATATATTATTTGAATATTTTTAAATAAATGAATAATCTTTATTTTTAGACTCTTTGTCCACCTATAGATGGAAGTCAATGCAATTATTATTGTGCTTATTCGGTACATATATATTTATCTAAATTTTTATTTCAAAATAAATTTCAAATTTACTAATTTTTATTACTATATATTTTTTTTAGTGTTTAAGTAATGGTGATAATGGTAATGGTAATCGTGTTAATGACAATGGTAATGGCGCTAATAGTGATGATGATGATGGTAGTGGTGATGATGGTGATGATGGTAGTGGTGATGATGGTGATGATGGTGATGATTAGATCATTTAACTATATTACTGTACAGTACACATAAATTGGTATTTAATGCACTGCCTGTTAGGGGCCTGCACAGGCCGGGCCGAAATTAAAAAATTTAAAAACTTAGTAAAATTACGGACAGGCATGTCAAAAACATAGTAAAATGCAGGTCAAACTTTTTTAAAATCATCAAAGTTTTATTTTGCGGGCCGGCAAAGGTACAATTTTTTAGAACCATGCTGGCCCATACTACTATTGTTTAATATTACTTCGATGATTCGCTAGATTATGTATGTCTCTTTGTATACTGGTTTTTTGAAAGAATGGTATTTTTGATTCCAATTTTTAATTTTTGACATAATATATAAAATAAATACTTGTATATGTAATAAGTTAATTGTACGAACTATTATTTGTTGTCAATAATTAGAGGTTGAATCCGAAATTATTTAATTAGTGATATTTCAGCTTCGAATTTACAGCTGTTCTCATAAATTCTGGGACAAATTCGTTACCGAAGTCTTTCGGTTTCGTCTTGTAAATTACCTAACTCCCCGCTGTCTCCGGACTGAAAGTTCGAAGATCGGACCGAAAGTTCGAAGATAACGATGTAGTTTCCTGAGAGTGGATAATTTGCAGGATGAAACTGAAAAGATTTCGGGTAACGAACAAATTTTTAATTTGCCCCAGAATTTATGAGAACAGCTGTAAAATTCGAATTGTTAACCGAATTTATTCCAATAATTACTTTATTGGCCAATAGCATCATTGGATGTACATACATAAACTCTGACAAAAACATTCGATCACTTTAAAAACAAAACCGTTATAGAAATTCTATAAGTGGTCTAATACATTTGTTTTCTATGCAGTAGGTCGAATTTGGTTCCAAACTCTACCAATAATAAATTTAATATCAATATTGATAAAATAATTTATTAAATATTAATATTCAAAAAAATTTCAACGTTTTTGAACGTGTTTAATAGATTTATGCTAAAATAATCAAAAAAAAGTAGTGATTCATTCTAGATATCTAAAAACATACAAGCTATTTTTACTATTATTAAAATATATATTCAAAGTGATAAAGAATCTGGTCACTATCCTAATCATTATACTTGAAAAATTTTTTTAATTTTTATATATAGTTTAATTTTACTATAGACTATCAAGAACCTGTAAAATTTTAAATATAAAATTTTCACAAAAAATTTAAAATTTCAAGTATTAGCTCAGATTTTCTAAAATTTTTAAATTTTGGAGAATTTATATCTAAAATTATCAAATTTAATTAAAATTTTCTAAAAATTTTTGTTATATATATAGTTTGTGATACATATTATGTTTTCAATAAAAAATTTTAACTTATTTAACTTATAAGATATACAATACAGGTAGTGATCTTGGCCGACAGTGAAAAAATCAGATAAAAGCAAATTATCGGCTTAGCTAGTCGATTTTTTTAAATTCGGATCGATTTTATTACTAGGATTGTAGCATTCGAGGTGGAAAATGAATGAACCTAAAATATGAGCAAGGTTGAGGCCAAAATTTTCAGTAAAGTCTGAATTAATTGGTGTAATTTTAAAATTGGCTAAGCCAGCTAAACTGGTAAAATTTATCGGTTTAGTCATAGCGATAGCCGATTGGCCAAAATCACTAAATACAAGGATGGCAAATAACCTGAAATAACCCAAATAAAAATGACTATATATATAGTTATTCATTTTAGGTAGCTGTCCCACAAAATTTTTTCCACCCTTGTAATAACGACCAATCGAATTTCAGGATCAGGTGGAACGTGATAGTCAAAACAAACGTGTTTTGTTTTTCTAAGTAAAAAGTTATGTGCAAAATTAAAGTTAAGAAAACCGCGTTATAGTTAGGGTTAGGACTAGAATAATGTGACGTCTACAAGTAAAATTTTACAAGGAACATTTTTCATTAGACCACAGAAGGCGGTTTCCTAATTAAAATTTAGAGCTATTCTTGTTTTTTTGCTTCGGTTCGATTTTCACGTTACACCTGATCCTGAAATTCGATTGGCCGTTATTACAAGAGGTGGAAAAAATTTTGTTATTCTAATACCTTTTAACCAATTAGAATTGGTCGCAAAGCAAAATTAAATTTTATTAAAAATATAGTATAAATTTTTATAGTAAATACTATATAGTAAATTAAGCCAATTTTTGAAAGTGACCCGGCAACCCGGCTTTTAATTTTATTTTCAAAAATTTTTATATATAAAAAACATAAAATTTTTTATAAATTTTTTTAGAAAAACCCACCGGATAGTAAATATACTTTAAAGTTTTGTAAAATTTGACCCGGTCGGGTTATGAGAACCGATTATTATCTTTTTAAAATATTTTGAAATAATTTTAAAAGGTATTTATTAGTTTTTTTATAATTATCTGAACTCTATAGTATTAAGTTTTTTATTGGTTTAAGTAAAATATCAAATATTTTATATTATTTTTATTTTTCAGATTTCTCGTGTTGTTTTATTATTGTTAAAGTTAAAGATAGTCAAAAATGATCAAGACGTTATATATAAGTTTCAATTCGAAAAAACATTATATATTATTTTTATACCCTAATATTTACTAAATATTTTGCATATTAATATTTTAGAATAAATTATTTGATAGATTAAATAGAGATTGATAAATATATGTACATAGTGTTGTTTCATTAATTATATTGACTATGGGCCATTACGCATCTTTGTAGACTGAACATTTACAATATATATAATCAATAAAGATTAAAGCTTCGTTAATACCGTATTTCGCCATATAAACCACCCGGGTCTCTTACATTTCACCCTCTTATTTAATTAGTAAAAAAAAGAAAATTATTAGTAAAAAATCACATGGGGGGTCTACTATAAAGGAACTACTGACCAAAAATCTTTCAGAACGTGACCAAAAGCCAATCACAGTTGAAGATCAGGTGTAACGTAACACTAACGTCACACAAACGTTTTTTTTTGCAAAACTCGCCTATAACTCAAAAATCCACATAAGAAACCATCATTAGTGCTCTAATAAAAAGTTTTCCTTGAGCAATTTTACTATATATTTTGTTAATATCAAACTCAAATACAAACGCTAACCCTTATATTAACAAACTTTACCGACAAATTTTTGGTGGTGCTCTTGGGGTAGTTCTATAAAGGGGGTGGTTTATATGGCGAAATACGGTACTGATAATCGTAAGATTTTTTATTGATTTTATTGGTCAATGATCACGTTTAAATCTACATAAATCAGCCAATCATGTAGAACTTTTGTCATGCTCGTGTCATACTTATATTTGTCACTTTATCTTCTCTTTCTCTTTAAAAAACCAAAATGAATCCACGTTTGTTTTATATCTTTAGAAGAAATTTTATTTCTACTATAACGCCATATAAAGCAAAATCCAGTCAAGATAAATTGAAATATCTCAAGCAATTACCGGAAAAATTGAAAGATCCTGCGCAATTACCATATAGCGCAAGTTTTTTTTTACCGATTCATAGAGAAGCTCTAAACATACATTACAAGAATGTAAATTCAGCAGATGAAATGTTTGATCCTCTTCCAGAAAACATCCAAATCGATAATGATTTACTTGTGGGTAATCTTACGAGAGAAGAACTGATGTCAGCAGTACCTGGGAGTTCTATTTTAAAAAAATTAAATAATGAGACCGAAATATCACTTGCAAAGTATCTTAATGCAGTTATTCTAAATGAGCAACCATCCGATTCCGGTCGAATTCGGGAGACATTCACGGATGCACTCGTCAACTATCTTCTTGTGGTATTAAAATTAAACACACATCCATTTATATTGATGTTGCAACCAGACTTTTACTTTAGGATATCCGACAAAAAAAAAGTATCTGCCAAGGCTGAATTTAGCGTAGTAAAGGAAAATACGATGATTCTTATAGATGAGGATAAACACATACGCAGTTTGAGACGACCAACAGAATATGGAGAATCACAGATTTCTGCTGAAATTCTCGCATGTGCCTTTACCAATTTTGACCGAGCTGACAGTCCTACAGTGGGAGAAAATCAAATGGTTTATTCAATGAGAGTTGTTGGAACGAGATTCACATTTTATAAAGCATTTCTGAGTAGTGAATATATGGAATCCCTATACCAGGGTTTTCCTCCATATAATTTACATGTAACGATATATCGTTTTCCACCAAATACCAAGAAATCACGCTATGGTCATGACTATGCTAATAAGGATCATAGATATTTGGTTCTTGATTTATTATATCGTTTAAAAGAATGTTTGCTTAGAATGTAACCTGACTTGACATAGTATGTAATAATTATTTGGCAATAACTATGTAATTTTTAAAATATTACGGAAAATGCTTTTAAGAAGAGCCCGAAAGATTTATTTTCTTTTTAGTCAAAAACATATCGAGGTTGATAAGATAGGGTGAATAAATCTTTTTCGGTATATATGAATAAATCATAAGGCATATAATAAATATATTGGGGGGAATGATCATTTCATATAACAAGTGATCTATAAATCTTATTTTTTGAAAGTATATACTTATTTCATAATCGTTTACCGGTAGGTATTTATATCACCGAACACAAGTCTATAAGTTAATTCTGGAACCCATTGTCGCGCTTTTGTTAGTAGAGGTTTCTTTTGATTTTTAACATGCCCTACCTTGTAATTATAAATTGTTTCCGAATAAATAGTGTTTATTCGTCGAATATTAGTCATTCAGCGAATATTCGAATAGATATATTCTAACTTGAATAATTCGAATATGGAAATCAGTAAGCTCTAATAAAATTTCAACAAATTCTGGTTCAATAAATTAACTCAAGTTTATACATAAAAACCTATCTTTCAATAGTAACATTTAGATTGATAAGTTCGAGAAGCATTTAGATGAATCATAGATTCGAAGTTTTGCTTCCACGATTACAATTTCCCATTCTGTGTCTCTGTATACTAATCATATGCATATTAATATGTGATTTTTTTACTTGCAATTTCACGCATTGTAGCCACGTTGATATTGTAGCACATCCATCGGTTAAACACAACTAAATCTGTCTGATCGGTAATAACGTTTGAAAAGTATTTAAATTCAATTTTCATTCTATTATTTTTATTTCTCATTTTATATCTGCATATATAATTATATTTATCTTGCCAAATGTAGTTTTCCCATTTTTTCTCTTTGGTTAAGTTTGTACAATAAGCATACTAACAACGCAGAAATATAGTGAATCATTGAGGCGATCGCAGATGTGGTATTCGAAAATCCCAAGAAAAAATTTCTGCGTATAAGGCGAAACTGGTTTACATAACATCTGAAAAATTTTTGGAACCGGCCGCCCGGAGATTTTTTTTATATATGTAAAATTTTTTATAAATAAACCTAGTACTAGAGCCCGTCATCATATGACGGGCTAAATAGTATAAAATAAACACTACAAACGAATGTTGCAAAGACCGTTATATAATGAGACAATCGGGCTATATATGTTATGCGTTATTTCTCAATTCATGTCAATTATTAATTGACGCTTTCAATTTGAACAGATATTTGTATAAATTTACGATTAATAAAAAATTATTACGACGCATTTTCACTTATGTGTATATTCAAATCTATGCATGTTTCGCATCATTTTTCATCCATATTTCATTTTAAATTAGAAAACAGCATAGGCCATTTTATAGTCAATATAATTTTAAAAAAGTAATTATAACGATTTGATTAAACATACGATTCGCATGTGTGTTCAACGAAGTATAATCAAAATTTATATATGTATAGTCGAGTATTTATGTGTAGTTTGATCTCATTTATGGATATAGTCAGACCTCTCAACCTTCCTAAATGCACGTCTTATGAAAAACCTCTCTAAATGCAAGCCTTCGCTTGGACCCAACTTATATAAGGCTACAAAGGTTATTTTCATTTTGCATTGCACGGCATTCAAAATTTCGATCGGTGACCGGGGGGTTTTTTTTTAATATAAATTAATCTAAAATTAATAGACTAAACTTTCATGTCGCCAAAGTTTTTAATTTCGAAGGCTTTCTTGAAAAGCATTTTTCTTGTTCAGATGATTTCGAGTTCTTTAACTTTTGAGTCAGTTAAATCATAAGGCATTATAAAATTATGTTGAGTTTAAACCTATCGGTAACTTACCAGGTACAAGAAAGACTTGTAACTGTAATAGCTATGTAATAATCCGTTGTCCATTTTAAAATTTGAAAATTATATAGTGTGTATTAATGATACCTTCCTAAATAATACAAATTTCAATTGATATAAATTTATCTTTATTGTTATCAATATGAAACTGGAAAAGATATTCTAGAATAGACCCGGGATTTACATTTTTATCGTAGACTTAATTGTATGTAAATTAATGAAAATTATTTGTACATTGTGTTCACGTTAAATTTTATACCTTTAGGTCTAATGCTAACCTGAAACTTCCAATTAGAAGAGATAATCATATAACTCGTTGAACATCAGAAACATGTGGGCTAGGTGCTGGAAAAAGAGCCGAAAATAACAATTTTTTCAAAATTTAGTTTTTGAGCTTAAGTGATCCAAAATTGACTCAGGAACATTTTTTACTTAAAGAAGAAGTGCTAATATCTTAATAAAATTTTATGTTATAAATAAAATGATATAAAAAACCTTATTAAATCGGATAAATATTTCCGGTATGTATAAATCGACGTAAATCAATGTAGATCATTGGAATTTATCGTAAAAATGTTGAGGTAATATTCCCTGATGATAAGCCAATCAAATTCACTGGTTTTAAAGTTCAAAATTAGTTTAATTTTATTCAAAGTTCTTTTCAAACTTAAGTTCATGCATTAAAATAGGTATCTTATTTAACTTAAATTAATAATATTTTCTACTCAGCAAAGGCTTATTAAAAATTAAAAAAAAATATTTTTTAAAAATTTTACTTAATATTTAACTGAACATAAAACAGACAGACAACCCTCCATTAGTATACATCATTGTGGAAATGTGCACTTATGGAGAGAAAAAAAGTTGTAAGTCTGAACTTCAATAATACTTTTTGCTATACTAATCAAGTTTTGTATACTTATAAATATGCACTTATGGAGAGAAAAAAAGTTGTAAGTCTGAACTTCAATAATACTTTTTGCTATACTAATCAAGTTTTGTATACTTATAAATATGCACTTATGGTTTATAATAAAACTCTTATATGATATTCTCAAGTATAGCTGAAATATTAGTAAGTAATCTAAAACTGTTATAATTGTCTAATATTAGTGATAAGGTGAAAGCATTATGTTAAATATCAAGTAATTTATAGTTTATATTACCTATATGCATAGCTCAGACAGAATATCCTAACTTGTAAGTAGTATTCTGAAAAAGATCCAGATTTGGTCATGGGTTAGATCTGGTGTTACTATCAGAAATTTGGGAGAGCATTAATAATTGGTCCAGAATCAGATCAGCAATAGTAAACAGAAGGGATATTGGATAAAATATAGTAGTAATACAAGATGAAATAGGTATAACGATAGGTAGATAGTTGTAATTGTAATAATTATATGTAATTAATAAATAAATAAATAAGATTGTTAAGCTGTCTTAATGATAAGGATATCGGGATATAATATGTGACAAAGAAGTAATAAGAATATATATAGTAAGTATGATAGTTTATTTTATCGTATAGCCATGTTATTGATGTCTATACTAAAAATTCTTATATTTGTATAGTTTACGTTATCACTGTTTATCATCTTTTTTTTCGGTCTTTAAAATAATCTGAAAAAAATGTTAATTAAAAAAAATATAATTATAAACTCACGTAGTTTAATTTGATAACGTAATTACGAATATGATATAAAGTATAGTTATCAATAACTACTATATGATAATACCGTTATTGTATAGGATTAAAAATATGCACGTGGGTATCAAATGGCAACATGTGATTGGCCATTACGCAGCCAATCATCTGCTACCGTTTGATACCCACGTGCATATTTTTGAAACCCTATACATAACTATATATAATGAAATCAGAATTAATAATGATGTGGTTTAATTTTTAAAGAGTTTAACAATAAGGTCAAGCACAGAGCATATATAAATAACAATACAATAAGAATTCTTAATAAAGCCATGAAGATGTATTTACAATAATTATATAAAGATATTAGAGTGAGAATTCGATGATTATAAGAGTAATATTTCAAGTATATAAGAGATTGAAGTCTGAAAGAACTTTATTAGTGGTCAAAATCAAGTTATTAAATACAAAATTTGATATATATAAATTAATACACTATTCAATTGTCAGATTATCTTTTCTTCTGTTGCTTATCTTATTCCTTCTATAAAACTCTTCTATCTATTTTTTCCTCCCAGAATGCCTTTGTTTCTCTACTTATTATACAGCATTCTGATAATAAATAAACACTTTTTAATTATTAATGATTATTGAAGATATTAGGTGACTATTTTCCCATTCTAAGTTTGACGATTTATACATACCACAGGCATTTACTGGAACCAATAAACTAACAATAAAAACAAGTCTAAGAAAAGGTTCTATTTGAATAACGACCTTAATAATAAACGACTTCGTGTCTTCAAGTTATATATAAAAGACTAAATATAGTAATATACCGTAGTATACTGACCAAAGTACCTCCCTTTTTCAGTACCCCTGTGCAAAGTACTCTGGTGCAAAACACGAGATCTCTATTAATTAAAAATGAGTTTTTTTAAATTTTTAAGCTGCTTATTGTAAGTGTAGAATATGTGTATGCTTGAAAGTTTTTTTCTTGCAATACAGATCTGCTATAGCATAATGTACCCAGGTCCTTTGTAAGTTTTTTGATAGGTAGATTGTATTGTACCCGAGTATTTTGATTAGTGCACTACGGTATATACAGAGTACAAAATAGAAAATGAATAATCTAATAATATATTACTAAAATAAGAAGAAAAAGAAAAGAAAAATTAAGTAGTATAGTTAACAGTTTGCAACAGATAATTATTATATAATGAAGACGCAAAAAATTTTTCACATGATGATAGTAACACTGGATCTATAATTTTTGAGATCTGTGTATATACAGATCCTTACAAAGATCTGTTCGGGTAATATCTGGTTACCTGATCCAATTCAAAATATAAAATAGTAAGGTTTTGAGACACAGCATTTATTTTGATTAGTTAGAATGATTAGAAATTTTTAGAAATGTAGATAGTCAAACAATATAAAAGACAAGCAAGATCATTGGAAATCTGCGGAAAGCAGATTTTTTTTACTGCTATTTTTACAATTCCTGGAACATCTAATAAAAATTGACCAAATAATTTTTTGCCCATTCATTAATTTCGAATCTAAATTACATTACACATATAAGCTTATACATTGTAATTTGATTAAGTAGAAATAACATAATTATGTTATTTCCACTTAATCTAGGTTATGTCTGATGACGGGATTATATGCCTGTCGTCATTCGA